GGGATGATTTTTCCCAGAAGGGAGAACTAACGAAAAGTAGCTCATTGATTTTAACATTCTCGTTGGACAATTGTTAATTTTTGCTCAACATCTTCATGATCACTGTTATCGTTTGAGACAATAGCAAAGTTCATTGAATTGGAAGGATGTACGGCTAGTTTCACAAGCACTCACCATCTCGCCTGTCCTGCAAGATCATCTAACTTGAGCTCAACGGATAATACGTGGAGTGTGTTGAAACAGAGGGTCCAGAAAATGAGTGGATTTGCATTATCAAATCTTCTGACTAAAACTGGATATGGCGTATTTGCAAAACCTTGCGAACTCACTTCTTATTTGAATCTAAACAGTCTCAAGTTCAGAAACGGAGTTAATCAGTATTAAAGCATTCGGGACCACGTGAATGCGCTTCTTTCTTCACAGTCCGCGTTATTATACGCGAGAGGAGTCTTTCTGACTCCAGCAGCCTATATGGATGTGATCTTAAATTGGTACTCGCGTACTAAAACTCGTATAAGTACGTATACGTACTCTTTGATATGAATACTATCGGAGCTTACGGACCTGGGACAGTGCTTTCGCCGGTCATGAACGGGTTGAATGATGGTTTTAATTTCGTTTCTAAGCAAGACTCATTATTTTGTGAGGCGCTTACAAAGTATAATGTTTATTTTGAATCGTCTTAAAAGCTTTATGCTGCCTGGAAAACTACTTCAATTTTGGAGGATGTCATTAAAAAATTGTTTTAGAACGGCATCAATATTTATTTCATAAAATACTTTGCCTTGCATTCCGGACAGGCAATAGAATCCGTGAAAATAAAGCCTAATGGAATGTTCTTTTCTGTATGAATGTTATCGGAGAGTACAAAAACGTTTAGCAGAAAGGATCAGTCACTTGGCGACAAAATGAGGCATCAAAAAAGCAACCTTGATGACAAAACGTGTCTGAAAAAGAGAACTCGTTGAAGCATGAAGATCCGTCTATTGTGCGTCTAGAGAGAGTGATACATCCCCGGGATATTCTTTTGTGGATGTCTCTATCACCATCCCTGCTCCGATGGACAAGATACGGTGGATGATACAACAGTTGCGGTTAAGGGAAGAAGAGGGGGGAGCGCCCCATTCAGATTTCATAATGGGTGTGTCCGAATACGCCCTGTTTGACAACCCACAATTACTGAAAAAATAAAAATAAAAATTTTTTTTCACTTGCTCTCAAACTCTTAACGTTAGGTTTGTTTGTTTTTTAATAAAGTTTGTGTAACTACTTTATTTTTATTACAAATTGAAAGTGATGGATTTTAAGTCACCTAAACCTGATAATAAAAAGAGGTAGAGTTAGAAATTTCGAAAAATTTTTGAACTTACTGGAGAGAAAAAATGGTCTGTATGTACAAAATTAGAATGGACACATGAAATAATTGCAGGATTATTTTAATATTTTATGAAAGTGGGTGAATGATGTCATAGCATTAGAATAATAATTTTAGTTATAGAAATGTTTAAAATAATAAAATAATGATTTAAATGAACTTATTTAATTAAGTAAAAAGTCAGTCTTTAAATACTTAAAATTGAAACAAAAATAAATTTTCAAACTGGTCTTCGAAAGCATTCGAATAAATCCCACACAAAAGTGTCCTCTTCTCACTGCGAGGGAATGAGAAAATATTATTATTTGCCTCTGAAGTTTATTCCCTTAAATAAAATTAAAATAACAATATATATTCTTCAATTATCTCATAAGAGGTAATTACAACATTTATTAATACATACAGAAAATAAACATTTGCGTCTGAACTTGATTATCGCAAAACAAAATTAAAATAACATTATATATTCTTAAACTATCCCAATAGAGGAAACTAAAACACTTCTAATAATCTTTAGAAAATAAGTTAACTTAATTTAAACGAGGGAATGAAAATGTCTTCTCAACACGTATCTCCGATTTCTCCGCATTTACTGAAATTTGTTCCGCATTTATTCGAACAAGTGCAGGTGCACTATTTCGACCAAAATAATGCCATTGATCTGAAATATTTCTATGAGGGAGGAAATGATATGAATTATAAGAGTCAAACTTTTTTTGCTAAATAAAAAACCTATTTAAAAGTCAATAAATTAACTTAATGCATAGAAACAACACTACAAGTTTTAATTTTAAACGATAAAAGTTGAGCAAGAAAAGTGAAAAATCTAAGACACAAGGGGTTTTCTTGTAAGAAATAGGAGAGCAAAAAAGAACACCAGAGCCGTGATTGAAATTCTAGAAGAATGTCTAACATATTTTAAATAAGAATTTAATCGCAATACTACATTTAATGATTAAAAAGAGTTGTATAAAATTCCGTTTTTGGGTCATTCCTTATTTCAAACGGAAAACTGCTTTTTCAAATAAATTATTTCTTAAATAGTGAGAATCGAAGTTCAAGAGTCAAACGGGTTTTTTTTGTAAGAGAGGGGAGTGCAGAGAGAGAGAAAAAAGAGAGCATCAGAGCGGTGAAAGGGATTCTAACGATCAACCTTCTGCGCCACCCCCTCCCCCTTCCACTTTCAGTTATTCTCGTTTAACACATACAAGGCTTCTTTTCCTGTTTTTTCTATCAAATAAAGCGGAGACTATCTTTTGAAGATACTTTATTCGTTCCGCTGGATCAACGTTTCAAGGAAAGGGACCACCCCCCCTCACCCTTTTCACTGCTGATTCTCACGATGGGTGGGCATTTTTCTGAAATTTTGTTCTGAAGTTCGACCCTCTAATGGGGGGCTGTAATAAAAGTTTGTGATCAGTCAGTAATTCTGATGCGTTGTGCACCTTAATAGTGTTCAAATTTACTGAAATCTTAATATCATGCTAAGTGGAACCCTATTATCCTACTTCTTTAACTTGATTAAGCAATACTATGGTCCAACTTAAGCAGAAGTATGGATTAATATAACATCTTATTGAAATTGGCATCGTACTACGGTTCAAGGTGCAGATACTATGATATAATGTTGAGAAGGATTTTTTGAGAGAGTAGGAGGGATAGGGCATTTTTTCATTTTGGTTTGGATAACAACTAAATGATTTTAATATATAATATTTCAAAGAGTATATATATGAAAAGCATGATTTA